CTCTTCACTGTATTTTATACTTTTGTAGGTGAGTTAGATCTCACTTTATACACACAAACCTACGTTTTATAACTTTCCAATTTTAAATTTTTCGTCTTTCATCAAGCGTACACCAAAGTCTGTATCTAGTTTTTGGTGACTAAAATTTAGGCAAGCACGCAGCAATCTGAAATTACTGTTTTTCTTTAGATCATTTAAAATAAGTAACATATACGCACAGTTTGCGTAAAAACATGAGGCGAACAGGATAACATATCCAACTAGTGTACCATTGTTTTCTGTGATGCAGCAAATAAATGTGAACAAAACCAATTACGAATTTCATACTAGTATATACAGTTTTTCTCCAACAATATTAATATTATCTTATGAGTATTTATTTCATCAATCACATGTCCCAGTTATTCAAAAAATTGAAATGACTGAATTGCAGTTTTCCAATGTCAGTTACTTGATTTCTCAGGCACATGGTGTTTTCATCTTAGTATATTTAACCTAATTGCATGTTAGCAACTTATTAAATAGATGTTGTTTACAAATTGAAGCCTGTCTCATGTTATACAACTGCGTAGATAATGCTCTTCTCATATATTCAGAGATTACGTTGATAATTAGTACACAAAACTGTTTACCAAATATATCTTTATTCTAAATAATTATTACTGAAAATCATTTTATGTTACAGACGATACATATAAGATTCAGATGAAGCACTTGTAGTGTGTTCATAGTTAACCTCAACTCGACACCACGCTACACACCCTTGAGCTTTCTGCAAAATAGGGTGACTGATGGGTAGTAATCTGTTGTACTCCTTTTGTAAATCTTGGATCGCTTTGGTTGAAGTTACGTCGAAAATCTTTTTGACTGACGTTTTGTACGTCCGTATCAAGCTATAATAGAGTACTTTGTCAACGAAATTCATATTAATTTCGATCTTATTCATTACTGAATCTTGTATTAACTCAGAGAAAATGGTTGTATAACTATTTTAAGTATCCTCTTATCGTAGAGCGAGGTGAACTTACATCAGCAATTTGGTTGCTGGACAATGGTCCTAGTGTTAATATACCTCATGTGGACTTTTTATTTATATGAGATATGGTTACATCATTCACAGATCATGGAGAAATAATTTGCTTCAGAAAAATAATTTTTTGCACCGGGTGGATGTTAGTCTGACAATGACTCAGAAATTCCAATCCACGAGTTAATTGTTGACGACTGAAAACAGCAAGTTTAACAGTCAAATCGGGTATTTTTAGGTTTTTTCTGTAACTACTTATTTAGCACAAGATAACCTACTTCCTCATTGGTTAAAGCTTTATTGATTATATTTATATTTTATCAAAATGAACATTGAATCGAGCAAACAAAAAGCGAAAATAAGGTTAAAATCATTTCAAAAATCGATCGAGGATACTGACAAATAGCATTCTTTGATTTTACTTAGACACAGTACGCAAAGTTTGTTATGTACTGATATCACCTTGTTTTTGAAATAAATTGGTGTACGTTAAAATTAATCTACATAAACCCCCAGAATAAATAGGTGGTAGTCCTATTGACATTCAACACCTGTTAGCAAACCTCGTTAATTTACTGAAGAGAACTAGCTAAAGGCAAACATTAAGAACTTATGCTATTCAATACTTCTCGTGCTGCTTGCACATTTCACCTAAGCAACGAGCCATCTCGCTCTCGGCAACTTTTTCGGCTGGATTGGACGACAAAAACTAGTCTCCAAAACTTCCTGCTAAGTAACTGTTTAGTTGTTCTTCAAGAAGTAGAAATGGGATCTCTGAAACGCTGTGTCATCAGGTCGTTTACCTGTAAACAACCAGACCATTAGGGTAAATATTTAACGCAAATTTGTTTGGAAAGGCAAGTCGATTGGATTGATCTCAAAATGTAATTAAGTAGAGTGTGCAGCAAGTAACTGTAAACTATCACACCAATGCAGTGTACAACACTGATTCCTAGCTGGATGCCTTTAAATTTAACTAGTGGTAGGCATTAAATGCTTAATTACAACAAAACCACGGTCTTATTAACTCTGTTACAGACGTTGGTCTCCATCACCATGATACCGTTTTGATGATGTATGGAGTTGTATTAGACTTACCCTCACTAAAAATATGTCCATAAGACAATCGCGAAATTGTCACAATTTAAGCTACGATGCTACTACATCTTCTTATATTTATCAAATAAATGGGGAGCCTATTAGTGAACAAAAGCCAGTGAAATCTTTAAATGCAAGTTTTATAACTGTTGACCTAATAAGCACCAATAATACTACTCACATTTGCTCATTTTTCATGGAAAACACTAATAATAACTTTAAGACTTAAACCTTGTACGAGTATACATACAACCGACGTCACAATTGATGGATCACTGGATGGTGATCAATGTCATGCGTGTCTAGTCCTTATTAGTGCAGACCGAATTCTATCGATTATGTTGCAATGTGGCCACCAATCTAGGTGACTCGACACTGTGGGCACTATATATTGAGATTAGATGGTGGTTGGAGGTAGTCAACAGGAAACCCCGGACCCGGGTTTCGTGCTACTTGGCACTCGTCAGCAACATGATCGATAGAATTCGGTCTGCACCAGTTCCCTCTAGATTACAGGTACACCTTGCTGACAAGTGCCAAGTAGCACGAAACCCGGGTCCAGGGTTTCCTGTTGACTACCTCCAACCACCATCTAATCTCAATATATAGTGCCCACAGTGTCGAGTCACCTAGACTGGTGGCCACATTGCAACATGATCGATCGCATTCGATCTGCACTAATAAGTACTAGACAAGCATGACACTGATCACCACCCGGTGATCAATCAATTGTGACTCATCATTTATTTCAACACATAGATATTGGTACAAAGAGGCATCAAATACATATGCACCACACAAATCTCATTCGATATGTGTGAGGGCTGTGATACCGCCTGGGTGCCCAAACCGAGGCAGGTGGTTTTCTTAGGGGACCACTCCCCGAGCCTTCGACCTGAAGGTCTGATCCACAAGGCAGTGGAGCACCGTGAGGAGATACAGTCCCATGGTAGCCGGTGACCAAAAATTTGTTCATACACCATCTGTTCCTGCAGGATACTGGTGCCCATGTGCACCATTGGTTTGGTTAAAGCGCCGGACATTCACTTTTCGTCCTCTCATTTTCGTAAACAACACCCCCGCCACGAGAAGGCAGTGAGTAGGACTTCTCTGGCAGAGGCTATATACGTGTGGTCATGTAAGAGCAGTTCAAGAGGGAGAGTGGACTCTCCCCACTCTCGGCCGTACCAGGGCATTCGGGCACACAAATATACATCCAAGTAGTCAATATATGCGCAGCTGCTTGATTCATATGCAGTTACCAGCAGAGTCATCTTGTCCTAATTACAGACTCCTATGGCAGTAAGTACCCTTTGCTCTATCTGACAAGTCATTAGTTTATAAGTGATGATCGATTAATAAGTCGAGTGTTCATGATTTTACCGAAGAGAAATGATGAACCTGAGTTTCACGTTGTAATACGTAAACGTTATACTGTTAGTCCTATGGAAACATCCCTTCATTGTGGTCTGATTTCATCTATATTTATGTTGACATTAGTCTAGATAACTTGCATCAGCCGGAAGATTTTCTGCCAGAATTGTTGTACTCATCATACAGTGAAGTAGAAGGCCTATAAGTAAGTTATTAAAAATACATGCAGCAATGGTTAGTCTAGAAGACCATACGGCTGAATTTAGACTTCTAATGGTTTTTACAGTGGGACACTACAGTTTTCTGGTATTTCAAACATTCCAACCAAAGTAGGATCTAGATATGGGCATCAGGACAAGATGATACTCCAAATCAGAAGTTAGGTGAAGTTGAAAAGAAGAGAAAGTGGTTGAAATGTTTAAAACACTAATCATAGAGACTAACCATTGGAAAATATGGCCTGTGAAGGAATGAATTGAAAGTATGGAATGGTACTCAAGTCAAAAATCTAAGGAAAGATAAAGAATGGATGGGTTCTGAATCATCCTACAAACCTCAATATCGGAGATAATACATATATTCTGAAATTTAGAATTACCTATGGACGGATTGCGGGAAGAATAATGCGGTTTCCAAGGACGATAAGCATACTTCAGTGTGGTAAATTCAGGTGGTACTAAATGACGAAATAATTTAATTAAAAAAGATTACGGTAATAAATTGTCCCCTGAAAATACTGAACTTCAAAACTCAACATATCAAAATATTACTTTCCGTCTAAGTGAGCATCCGACAATTAGAACACCAAAAAGGGGCCCTTACATATAATTCGGTCGTTTCGTTCTAGTCTTTACATGATAATTGTTCGCCATACTTATCGGAACTATCTTATCTTGACAAAATACAGTAATGATAGTTAAATTATATATGTAGATTACGAGTAAATGAATACACCGTGAGATTTTAAATAGCTACCCTTTATACTGAAACTCTTGACAATAAGTGCCCTGGAATGCTTGACGTGAATACCAGTTCACTGTGATTACTAAAACATTCAGAGATGAAAATCATATAGCATCAGCTTATAGTGACTTCTGTCTAAAGTAGTGTCATGTTTCTAAAATTCGAAGTATCAACGTATTCGTTCCCCATTACAGTTCAAGACATTTCAGCAAATTAAGTTGATCTTTATTACAGTTTTACCTACTCGTTCTGTTCGTTGAATTCGAAGGAACATTTGTTGATCAGAATCCTAACAGTAAATAGTTAATGTGATACATCATTATACCAGGTGAGAACAGTAGTTTTTTACTCATCTTCTATCGAATGGATGTGTTAAACAAAACAGTGACATCAGAGTTTCCGACATAGCTGTGGTTCATAATTATTCCGTGGTCCCTTTCCATATTAGCTTGTCAAACCAAGTCGTTTGGACCAAATAACGCCCAGAATAAATCGTGAGGAATGGACTATCCCGACATGTTTGTAAAATAAATTCTCGTAATTAAATCCTAAGTGACTTTGATATGCGATAAGAATGATTACATAGCATTATATTAAATATATCAGTTAGCGATAAACTATTGAATGGATCACAAGAATAATGTCATTGAAGTTCACTCAGAGTCCAAAGATGATTCAGACTCATTTGCGCTTGAGTCTTCCGACTCCGTTGTGTTTTCCTTTCTAATCTCCATAGACTTTTCTGCAGGCTGCTCTGAGTGACTTGATGATGAGTCACTGTCAGATTTCACTTCTGAATTCTTAGCTTTAGAACCAACAGATGTTTTTCGAGAATCTGGTGGAGAGGGCTTTGGTGAACTGCCGTTCGAGTCTGTCTTCGACTTCTTGGCCTCAGATTCTCCAGATGATGAGCTATCAGAATCCTTTCGAGCACTAGAAACTGAATGTTTTGATGAATCACTATCCGACTCTGTCTTGGATTTTTTGGCTTCGGATTCTCCAGACGAGTCTTCCGAACTTTCATCAGAGTCCTTTGAAGGCTTTGCTTTGCCCTCAACATCCTTGACTGACGAGGGGTTTATTTTTTCTTCTTCCTCATTCCCTGAATCTTCATCTTCAGAAGTTTTTCTCTGGTGTTCTGTGGAAATGTCTCCATTTGCATCAACTTTCTCCTCATGACCTTCATCTGAAAGCTTTTCTTTCTCTTTTTGATCTTTGTTCTTCTCTTCTTCATCAGCTTCACTCTTTTCTACCTCGTTAGAAATATCAGACTTATCTTCATTGCCCGAAGACTCCTAGTAAAGTCAACTGATTACTATTAAACACACTACCTTATCCTTCTCTTCGTCCTCCTCCTCACTCTCGGCCTGGAAATGAACGTCACAAATTGAGTCTGAGTACATTTTCAACAGGTTTAATTCATGCAGCACATGCAAAATAAGGCTAAACAATCATGCGAGAAGACCTAAGGCGCAACCGGTACCTCACTGGCGCTGCTACCCATCAATGCTGAGAACGGCTTCTGAAGGTAAATCGTAATAGATAATTAAAGATCTTACAGGTTTTTCTCCAGGTAATTTTAAAAAAGATTCCAGTTCTTCCATTTCCAAGGCCTCGTAAAATTCCTCATAGCCCTTGAAAGATGAAAGTAAGCAAAATACTAACTCCAAGATATTCCTCATCAAGAAAAATATGTGGTGGAACCAAAGGTTTATCTTTTTTCTTCAGCTCTTCAAATAATGAACATTTCTCAGGTTCGTTGGAAACGTCAGAGAGGTCAACTTCCTTAAAGTCAACCTTTTTGGCATTAAGCAGTGACAGGATGAGTGCCTGTTCTTTTTTGACCTGCATCATAGCTAGTTAAAAGTAACGATTCCAACCTTAAGGTTTCCAGAAAGAGTGCTGATATAAACCTTTAGAACCATTGAAGTAACGCAAAACAGAATTTTCCGCTGATCCAATGTCCTATTAATAAGCTCAAATGGTTCAAATGGTTGTGGACTGAATAGAAGAAGCTTTCGCTTAACAGGCTTCTGTGTCTAGTAGCAGGGGATCACCAAATCATCCAGGCAGGAACCTAGGTATGTTAACAATAAACGAGGAAAAGAAATTAGTAAATCATAGTGTGATACTATCCTTAGTTCTTAAGAATAGATCAAGTTGCCTCTTAAAGGACTCCTGTGAAGTCGCTTGGACTAGCTCGGCCGGCAGCGAATTCCGGAATTTGACAACTCTTAAGGAGTAGAAGTTGTGTCTACATTCCGTTCTCCTATGTTGTGTCTCCAGTTTTTGGGTGTTACCTCTTAGGTTAGTGTTGGAACTAAGCTTAAGTAGGTGTTTGAGAGGACGTCCAGAAGTGTTAAGGACACTATAAGCCATCAGAAGGTCACATCTAAGACGTCTATACTCTAACGGGTAAAGGTCTAGTGAACAGAGACGTTCTTCGTAAGGTTTAAATTTGAGTCCTCAAACTGATTTCGTGGCTCGCCGTTGGATACGCTCCAGGATGTTCTTATCCTTTTGGAGTGAGGAGGGAAATACTATGTTTCCATACTCTAAATGGGGACGAATAAAACTATTGAAGATTATATGGAAAGTTCTTCCGTCAAACTGGCCAAAAATGAGCTTCAACGTTATCCAATCGTTTGAGCTTGTTGATAAGACATGTATGGTTAACCTTATCAAAAGCTTTTTAGAAATCTAGGTAGATGATATCAACCTTCCTCTTGTGATCAAGGATGCTTGTCCATCTGTCCACCGCAGTCAGCAAGTTGGTAATACAAGAGTAACCCTTCCTGAAAACATGTTGTTGGGGTGAGAAGAAATTTAAGGACAGTAAATAGTCATTAATACCATCGCTTATCAGGGACTCCATGTTTTTTGAAAGTATTGAGAGAAGAGCCACCGGTCGGTAACCTGAAGGTTCACTGCGTCGACCTCTTTTGAAAATTGGTGCGATGTGGGCCAGCCTCCAATTTTCTGGTAGTTTGCCTCGGCTTAGCGAGTGTGAGAACATCACGCTAAGCGGCGTTGCCAGGATTGAGGCTGCTTCCCTCAGTATGGCGGAATGGACCATGTTCGGGCCAGAAGAAGTGTCTAATCTTAAGCTACTTCAAACCTATCCAAATAAATACTCTCGAATCTTCCCTCTTTATAATATTCCGGTATCTGAAGAAATGCTTATTAAGGTTACACTAGTTGCTCAGTTTCAATCGTCTTCGTGTCACTGAAGATTAGTGCACCTGCCGCAAAATGTTGGCGTGTAGCGGCAAATAAATAGCTCTGTAAGTATTCGACATTGTACGATGCCAGATTAGTTCCAGTGGACTCATCTAGCTGAAGTCGCTCGGTCATGCATGCGCACCAGATCACGTGTAAGAATGCCGTGCTCGACTGCTACTGCAATCGCTAACCAGATTAGATCAGATAATTCCGATATATTGGCAGTCGTCAAATACAACTTCTGATCTCCTCGATTCTGTCTTTTGATTTCTCTTTGTGAGTACGAGTTATATTAGAAGGTGTTACTGGTAAAGGCGTTGTCAAACATTCAATACCTGTGTCATCTTCAAGCGTGTGCCATGCAGAATAAACCACCCAAAGCATTGTAACTCGAAAGCATTCATGTTGACCTGGTTAGTATTACTAGGTTCATGCTAGCTGAAGGTGCTTGGTCACACATTCGTATCAAATAATGTTTCAGCACATCAAGATAAGCATCCTTCACGACGACTAGGTAGCTTACATCAAATATTACCCGAAGAATTGGTCAGCTCCAAATATATCCTTTACTGTGATGCATGGGTTTTTGACCCTGTCCTGCAGTTTGATTTCTCTGTCCTTTTCCAAGTTTTGATCTTGTAGGGGCCTCATCAATGACATGCAGCTGAACATAATTCTACAAGAGTTTCCAGCCCATTGAAAGACGATAGATGCCAAACTGTGATCTACTTGAGGAAATCCAGAAGAGCAGTCACCTCGTTTTTGAGTGCGTGAATCTTATGAGTATAAATGGTCTGTCTGAGAATGTCGAACTAATTGCTTCCGATCCGAGAAGACTCTATGTTCTTGGTGAAATAATTACTCTGGAGTGGATCAAATATACGTCAGACGCTAAAGAACCAATAAGTCGTTCTTAAACGTGCGTTTATAAAGTTCATACCACAAACGACATGACTGATGATGCCTCGTAGAGATTGTCTCGCATTCCTTAATCCCAAAAAGATGCAAAAACATTCCTGAGGAAAGAAGGATGTTATGATTGTTATATTATGGTAATCACCATACGCCGTAGGAATTTGATTGCTTTTTCAAGCCTGCTTTATGTATGACAGACTTGCATTTGAAAGCAACCATCAAGTTGTGAATACCACGAAGATTCCACAAGTATTTGGAGTTCGACAGCGATTTAACCAGTAACACCTAATATGAATAGTACCCACCAAGTGAAATAAAAAAACAACAGAAGTTAGTTTGTTTGAAAATATTTTTGATAGGATATCAGTATATCGAGGATCGACGGATCTAGACTGATTAGCGATTGCAGGGGATGTTGAGCATGGCGTTCCCACTCGTGATCCGGTGCGGATGCATGACCGAGAGCCTTCAGGTTGGTCCATTAAAACTAATGTGGTCAACATCCAATGTCGAAGACTTACAGATCTATTTATTTTGGGGATTTGTTTACCACTAAAACAGTAACTTTTACACTAAATCCTTGATTACTGTCTCAAAAATATGCATGCTCATAGTTAGAAATTCTGAATATTTCGTTGATGAGACGCTAAATCTAGTAGATCAATGATTATTCCGAGTGTGCACAAAAAATATAGGAAGTACATATTTATACATTTGGATACACAACAGTGATTCAATTGATGATAAGTACATGATTCAATAGTGAGTATTAATCAATCTGTCATATGACTATGTTGTATAAAGTATTTCGTAACATGTATTGTTTTAACAGATCGTTGGGGACGTTTTGAACGAGGCATTTAGTTAACGCTTATACTCGAATTATTGAAAATATATGAACTTGTATGATACGGTCAGAAGTGTGTTCGAATGTTCCGTATTTTGTCCTCAGACGTAAGTTTTCATTTGTATATACTCACATTTTGTTTTTACTCTAAATACTCGGTCGCATAACATGTATAGACCATTGTTTTATATATGATCTGACTTAGGCCATCGTAACCCTACTTCATAATCTTATGAGTGCATTGCTGGTCTTAAAGAATCAGCACTAATTTTTATAGTGTAATTACGGAACACAGATAAAGCACCTATCTATATAGTTTTCGACATAAAATATTTATGATCATAACAACTTCTTTTCTACATTACGTTGCTATTGTTTAACTAGTTTTTGGGCCTTGAACGTTTTGCTTTATTTTACGTTTAAAGGAATTTTTAAAAGTCTTTGTGAAATGTGACCAATTGTAAAGACAGCTCAAAAATATCCGAAGAATTTTGCATTATGCTCTTGCTTGTGTTGGAGTGATAGTTCTGAGTAATTATTCCTCGATACTGACTTATTTTGAATTGATACATAGATTTATGAGGCATTCTGATTTCTATAACAGGTAGGTCTTCTCAGAAATACATTGGTTAATGAAAAAATTTAATACGTTTTGTTTCGTCGTACTTGATCTTTGAGACACATTGAACATAAAGACTCTGTTACGTTTTCCTTCTGAGTTTCACTGAAACAAACTACCTCACGATTTGCTCGTTGTTATCTAGGCGTTTATTTGATGAGGAAATAGTGTGTGACTGGCTAATCAGGTTTTGACTCTTTAAAAAAGTACGAAAACAAATCCAAAGCAAGTATATAGTATGCGTCTTTTAATAAAAACAGCATTGGTATTGTGACGTTCTTTCTCCTATTAGAAGTAAGATAATAAAACTCCAATTAAAAGCTAGTTTTCTGCCTAAAACATATGGGTAGATTATCATGGAATTACGTGAATAAATTTTATAATTTTTTCCCAGTTTACGACACTAACCGTACTTCAAAAGAAGTATTTTAAATAACTGATTTAACTTCTAGAGTAAGTGGTAAGCAGATTATCACGTATATCGTTCACCGTTTATCAACTTTATCTACTTATCCAATGTATTTATTACTGTTATGTGCCGTGTTAAGTATTTGATGTATGTTGAATGATTATTTCGATTATATTAACTACTGCCACTTGGATAGCGTTTCTGTCCACCTAAGGTAGTTTTTAAATAACTGAAATAAGCCGGTCTTTGTTTAGAAAGAAAAAGCACGCTCATTTTATCTTTTATACTCGCATCTTGAATTGATTCGATATATCATCTTTTATTCAGGGATTTTTGGTGACTGCATATTTCATATAATCCGAGATATCCATTTAAGTACACCTCCTTTTTAATGTCATGTTTAAGAAGAAATATAAGAAATACACATGAAGGATTGAAATATAGTAAACCCTTTCAGCCAATAGAATGACACCATTATACAGCTATACAACTTACGTTCTTTTATAGCTCAGATCACATGTAGAATACCGTTTTCAGTGCTTCTTATCTCCTACTGAGAATAAACTTATTTGCATCAATATGCTAAATTTTGAACTTAAGTAAAATTAATTGATTTAGAGCAGAAAAATCATGTGTTTCTGGAAATGACTTTTTAAAGTAAATGATTTAATAGCCTGCAATAAAAGCAGACGAAACAGTTGTAGCTCGTAGGGTTATTTTGAACGAATATACATATGGCAGCTGACAATTGGCTGAGCTAATTCTTTAAACAAGTATACAGATAACTCCAATGAATCAGTAATCCTAAATACCAAGTATCCAGGTCACTTGTTTGTTTTCTGTATTACAGGGATTTAAACAGACTTCTTCCTTTTGCTAAAATAAAACTTCAGTTTTTATGATAATTTTCTTTGCATATAATTTTTGGTTCATTCATCGTGGTAGACTAAAATGCAGACAATAAGCTTACGGATAAAGTCGATACATTTCTCTTCGAACAACCAACTTCCTATTTCTTTTCTGATCTTTTCCAAAACAACGTTTTAAAATGCAC